AAATAATAATGAGACATGGAAATGAAAAAGACATTAAACTATATTCAATGTTTTCATGTCATGATCGTGGATGCACCAAAAAATTCAAGCTAATATGGTAGCGTAGAGTATATTGTATTACGTAATAAATTCTCATCACTTCATGCAAATAATTTAAGACATTTATTTGATTCGTCGATAACGAGAAAACAACATTATTAAAGAGGAAAATATAGTAATTTTGAAAATGTTCGTGGAAAGTATGTAAATAAATCACTGGACACGGACTTACTCGATTGAGACTAAAACTGTTCGACTTACTCGAAAGGGACGAACGAGAAGGAATTAGGGTTTTGAAGGCGGTCGAGACGTAATTATGTGGGGGAAGGGAAATAGAGAAAATAGCATGTGCGTTAAATAATAAAGGCAAAATCCTATCCAACTTTAATTTTGGTACCAATTTTGAGGCAAAAGTTAAAACGGAATTGTCCTATTAATTAATTATAATGAATATTTTTAGTCATGAATTTAAAAAACCCACACCTACACACATTCATTCATTGTTGTGGCTCTGCAATAAACTTCAAACCGCCTGGGTCGGCTTTTTTCCGGTTCAATCAAACCGGACCGCCTTAATCATGGTTTATATCTAAACATTATTATTATTTTTTAATTAAGAAAATTTATGTATTTTAAAATAAATTTATGCATATTATGTATTTATACGTAAATATTATTAATATTTTGATTAGGGAGAAATAATTTAAACTATATTTAATTCTAATGGGGTGTATCTATTGATTACGATTGTTCGGGTTTGTAGGAATATTGATTAATGAGGGTGAGGAGAGGTCTAGCTATTAGGTGCGCGCGCTATGAAGAAAAAGACGTTGATTTAGATTAAGCTATTTCTAGATACGGTAGATAAGATAAATGATGATATTTTAGGTAGAGAAATTATTTTAAAAGGTATTAAAATAATAGACAGTCGATCTATAAAAATAATAATAATAAAAAATAAATAAATGCAACATTATAATATATATATATATATATATATAAAAGGAGTAAAAATAATAACTATTTATTATTACTAAGAAGAAATATGAAAAATACTTAAGAAATTAAATCAATTATTTATTATATATATATATATATTTTTTTTTATCTAGACATTAAATAATTTTGGTGATGTAGTACAACTATTATTGATCCCCTTGTTTGTGAAGCAAACATGTTCCAATTTACCATAAAGGAAAGAAAAATGAAAGTAAACTTTCACGAGCTTCTCCAAAACTAGACATATTATTTCTCGTTATTCGAATATAATTTAGTGGTATCGTGTCAATTATTGTCATAAAAATTGATGGCTCAATCCCCACCCTATAATTATGTACCGTGTTATCTATATATATATATATATATATATATATATGTCGTTATAATAAATTACAAGTGGGTTCCTTTAAAATCCATTTAGCCGTTTAAAATTTTTGATAAATGATGAAATTGAACGTATTCATGACGTAATTATAATCGCTCGGTAGTTTAGGGGTATTTTTGTAAATATTTCTTCAATTTTTACTTTCATAACACGTTCATATGATCGTCTTTTTATGATTAATAAAAAAAATTAAGTAAATCTAAAAATTTAATGAGTCGACAAATTAAGGAGACGAAAATGGTATGATTTGACGGGTAGAATTTGTCGTTAGAGAAACAAAGAAATGAGTTGAGTCACATTCATCCATCTATGTTGGCTTTGTGGAATTCATTGCCTCTTTGTGCTTCATTTGTCTTCAAAAGGGAAGGCATACCCATGCATACCCTCTTCTTTCCTTGTCCTCAACAAAGACAAAATTACTATCTTTTTTTTGTAAATAATAATATTTTATTATTATTCACGAGCACGAAGTTTAAATCATGTAAAACCAATCTCGTTAAACTAAAGTTGAGCTTAAGTCATACTGACTCGGTTTTATGGATATTTAGTACTAAATTATAGTTTACCATATATATCATATTTGATATTTTATTATAAGACAAATATGTCTGTAGGTATCTTTCCATTTATTTGATTATAAATAGAGAAGTTTCACACACCATTTAGGTGTGGCGGATTAAGCAAATATTCTCATGGTATTAGAGTCATGTCTTAAACTTAACCATGTCAATAGAATCCTCATATGTGGAACAAAGTATTGTGAGTCTCGAAGGCATAGTCAAAAAGTGACAAAAGTATCGAACACAGGGTGTAATTTGTTTGAAGAGTTGAAAAGGAGTCGAGCCTCGATTAAGGGGAGACGTACTTTGTTTGGGGGAGGTGTTGGATGAAAGTCCCACATCGGCTAATTTAGAGAATGATCATGAGTTTATAATCAAAGAATACCATCCCCATTAGTAAGAGATGTTTTGGGGAAGTTCAAAGCAAAGTCATGAGAGCTTATGCTCAAAGTGGACAATATCATACCATTGTGGAGAGTCGTGTTCATCTAATATGGTAGGAAAACTTTGACCTAACGACCCAAGTCCCCGCTAGCTTGTCCTCTTTGGACTTTCCCTCGGGATTATCAGTTCAATCAAATAAAAACTAGGGGGTAAATTAAAGCTTCGTCTTTTTTAGGGGGGAAAATCATATTGAAGCTCTGACATTTATATAATAATTTCATGTCCCATAATAAATTAAACCAACTTATAGGAGAAGATTTTAAGAACTGGGCTGTCACGTTTTGTCCCCTCAAAATAGGTTAATAAGGCTTCTAGCCTTATTTATTTATTTATTTTTATAGAAATTTAATTTAAATTTTTTATCTCTTCAATATTACAGCATCATCATCGTTCCACAATCGAACTAGTTGTCCCGTGCCCGTTTCCGTTACACGTTATTATATGATACGTCTTGAAGTAGAACCAAAATCTATCTCACTAACCAACCCGAGCAATCTCTCAAGTGACAAGTGTATTCTAAAGTATTTCATCATTTGGGATGTTTTGCTCAAAGAGTTTAAAAATGGTGGGATATGAAAAAAATGCGCATATAATAATTATTATTTTGAAGTCAATATTTTTTTTTCTCGTTGTCATTAAAAAGTTAAACAAAAAATAATTATTAACGAGAGAAAATATTTCAAAATGGAAGAATTTGAGACGATGATAAGACATGTCTTGTTGATATATGAAAACGCCCTCAAAGCTACACATAATTATTTATTTTAGCGGGTAAACAAGAAAATGAATTTTCAAAGAAAAAGCTTTCAAACATGATTGATAATAAAGAAATGTCGATATGCATAGTCGTAGTACCAACACCCTGATAATCTCAGTCATTAAAAACAAGGTGCTTGTTGATGTAACGTTTTAGGCAGTAGTCTAGAAACAAACTCTTCTCGCAGAAGCTTCACGTAAGCTGTTGTTGTCGGTCATTATACAAAAAGTCATTTGTATATCAATGTAGTTCTTTTCCTAGCACATTATAACCCTCGAGTTGGATCGAGTGACGTCAAGCTAAGCTGGATTTGAGTTGCTTTTCTTTTAAGAGGTTTGTCGGTGCATTTATAGAGAACGAGCTAATCACGACCTTACAATGTGATAGATGATATCTTATTCTATCATCAATCCCGTGTTTCTCGAGTGAATGATAAGATAGATAGGTGGCATGACATGTGATCATCTTTTAAGCTTGTCGAGCTAGCCCTAGTAGTTTGAGTTTGCCTCGAAAATGACTGGGCCTACCTACCCGCAACAATGTGAGAATCGATTCGGGCTCCACTCCCTTATCCTATGTAACTTACTACTACGTAGCTCATGATGATGTAGATCACCCTCAGCCATGCAGATAGCTTACCAAGAAATCTTTAAGATATACAACTTTGGCTTAATGAAGGGTAACAACTTGCTGACTTCACATATCCAAATAATTTGCCATTATTGGTTTTTTTTTTTTCATTTATATATCCTTTAAATTAAGATTTCAACTAATTTATTTATTATTTACGTTAAAATGATTAATTAACGTAAGATTCAAATAAATACATACGTAGGTAAAGAGTTCGTGAAATGTTACGTGGAATACAAAAATAAATATATTTAAAATATCTTTCTCCCATATCCAACGGTGCACGTGAAGTGATCTCGTCTAATAATTCCATGTTGATATCTGCGTTTATTTAAAGAATATTCATTGATTTTTCCGACAGGGAGAAGGTAATAATATAATTATAAAAGATATTTGGATAATTAACTCGATAACTATATTTTAATTTTAATATTATGATTTTGAAAAAAATTAAATCTAATAAATGTAATAAAAGAAATTAATAATAAATCTAGTTAACGGGTTAAAGTATATAGTATGCTCAAAATAAATAAATAAATAAATAAAAACAAAAACAAAAACAATATAAATAATTAATAAAATCCTCTCATTTTCCATTTGTTTTTGAAGTGAGGGCTTGGGCTGAACCAATAGTGGGCCTCTATGGGCCAGTTGCCAACAAAAATGGGCCCTTTTTATTTCTTCTTTGATTTGAAATGGTTAAATATATATATATATATATATATATTAATTATCTTAAATTTGATTTGATTTGATTTTAGAATTTTATGTTTTGATTTATTTTACAATTTTTGCTTATTTGTTTATCAAGAATTTTATGTCAGACAAATTTGAAGGTGCAAATGGCTTGAACGTCCAAGTCAAGAAAACGAGTACATATCAAATTATCAAGCTAGGATGGTAAATATTTTCGAACCTCAATCTTTGTGAATGAAAATATAATATTTTAACTAATTGAACTATAACTAACCGTTAATAATTAATATCACATATTTGGTCCACCAAATTGTAATAGTTTAAGTCTTTTACATAAAAAATTTAGTACTAGAATTTTAAATTTTGTAACCCGCTACTAAAATTTAAATCCTTTCCAACATTATCATAGTTCAACACGCATAAAATATTCACTCAACTAAAGGGTCGTAACAATTACAAAAACAAACAAGATATTCTACTAGTTGGATTGCCAAAGTAATTCGTAGGATATTAAGTCCTTCCTTGTAAACCCTTTATTAAATATCGGTTTTAACCGTTAAGAACCAAAATTTTGTAATGTTCGTGACATAACTTGCTAATCTTAGGCTTCACTCGTCCTAAAGTAAGTTTGAGACACGACAAATATTTGAAGTCATAAAGTTTAGGAGCTTAGATGTATGCAAAATCTGAAAAGTAAAAATCAAATATCCCACTGTTCACAGAGCAAGTATAGCTAAATCACTTGGCACCATTTACTATCGCTATCGGAGAACAAAATGTAGAAAAACAAGATTGAGCATAAATTACCGTTGATCTCTTCTGATACTCAAAACTGGCGCCTAGGCAGCCTTGCTTCTGCTTGGGTCACTCGGATGGATCTTCCATTCAAGTCCTGCAATGTAAACATTCATACTTATATATATGAAAATATTAACTCTCATGATTTTGACGCATGAAATGTAACGCCCCAAATCCACCGCTAGCAGATATTGTCCTTTTTGGGCTTTCCCTTTTGGGTTTTCCCTCAAAGCTTTAAAACGCGTATGCTAGGGGAAGGTGATTTGTTCTTCTCCCCATCCAACGTGGGACATCACATGAAATGAGTTTAATAACGAACAAAGGATAAACTGAGACAAAATGGTCCAACACAAAAATTTTCATTTCAGGCAAGATGAACGGGAACAACAAAAAAAAACTTCGACTTCAGCTTCGTAAACCGTTAAAAGCGTACATGAGAGAAACAAGTGAAGCCAATGCACATAAAGGGTGAAGATGCAACCAATCATGATTCATATGAACAACAGAATTTCATACTCATATCTCTTGAGTTCAGTAAACAAGATTGTAATGGCTATACTTTGATTGAACATGAGGAAACATATCAAAACTCATCATAGACAAATGCAGAACTGCTCAGGAAAAACAAGAACATAAAAATGAAGAGGCAAGCGAACTTACAACTCCATCCAAGGACTGAATGGCATTGTTAACTTCCTCTGCTGAACTATATGTTACGAAACCGAACCCCCTAGATCTTCCGCTATCACGGTCATAAACTACTTTTGCCTTCACAACATTTCCTTGTTCCCTAAACAAGTTCTCAAGTGTAAGATCATCAACACCCCAAGCGAGGTTACTCACATGAACACAATTGGAGTTATCAAACGTTGAAGCATTTTTTGAACTCCTAAAAGAGGAATCGTCCCTTTTTGGTGGAGGGGGTCCATAATTTACCCTCAGTGGTCTACCCTCGAGTTCCTGTGAGGAGCACCAGAAATCATCAATTAAAAGCAAATCCAATGAACCTTTGATACAAAATGAAAGATAACAGTATATAACTGGATCGCAGAGGCAAGTCTAGGAGACTTTTGGCATTAAAATTACGGCTCAAGAACAACCATATGGAAGCAGATAAGCTCTACATATGTTTCGGGATACAGTAACAGCAATTGGATTTCCAAGGAGTAAATGAAGCAGACCCAGAAACAAAATTGCATAGCCATTAAGTTGGTGTAAAATGGATGTAGCCACTTACATAGCCGTTAAATTGTTGAGCAGCTGCTTCAGCCTCTGCAACATTCGACATAGTGACAAAACCAAATCCCCTGCTTCGTCCCGTCATCTTGTCGTAAATCACCTTCAAAACACTTCAGAAAATTAGGGCAAAGCAAATGGATAGTCTCTCGAGAGAACAGAGAAACTTAATAACAGGAACAGCAACATAAATTCTAACTTCTCCTACAAAACATGAAAGAAACAAAATCGAGATTGAAAAAAATACCTCGACCCTCTCAACTTGTCCGGCGCTTTCGAATAAACCGGCGAGTTGAGCACTGTCAATAGTGAAAGGAAGATTTCCGACGAAGAGTTGGAGGTCAGGAGCGTAGCTGGAATCATCTCCATCGACGTCGAGGACATCTTCCTCCTGGTCAAAATCGGATGAGACAGCGACATTTCTAACGAATCGTGAGAAGAACGCCGGAGAAACCCTATCAGAACGAAGAACCAAAGCGGATATGGAAATCGGATTCGACCGAAAGCCAATGGAAGATGGATTGAGCGAGAAAAGTTCGAATTTAGGGTTAGAAAAAGATAGGGTTTTAGGGGTTAGGGATGAAAGCGTGAGGAACGTCGCAGAGGCAGCCATGGCTTCCGAGCTTTTTGAGATAAGGCTTGAAAGAAAGGCCCAACGGCCGGAAGCTAGGTATTTATAGTTTTTTTTTTTTTTTTTTTAATGTAAATTTCTGGAAAAAGAATATATTAAAATAATTTATTTATATAAAAATATTATTAAAAAGTGGTTGGTGAAAATCAGCACGCTTCACGCATGTGAGATCTATCCTTCTTTACCAACCTAGGATTGTGACATTGCATTGCATATATATTACAAAAAAAAATATTTTTTTAAATATAATTATTAAATGAGATTTTAATTAATTACAATAAAATATAAAAAATACACATAATTATATAATTTTTAATATATTTATATTAAATAAATAATAACTAAACTCATAATTTAACTAAAAACTCTTGAGTTAGGTATTTGGAAGAAGCAGATATTAATGGAAATGGGCGATGAGGTTGGTGGAGTTTGAGAATTGCGCCATACCATCCTCCACTCCGTACTCGATTCTTGCTATAAATCTCCGCCATTTCTCCACTCTTCAGATCTGAATCTCGCCCTCTGATTTCTGCCATTCTCTCCTTCATTCCGTCTTCACCTTACTTGCATCCATGGCGTACGAGAGGATCCTCTTGGGAATGGGCAATCCTCTTCTTGACATCTCAGCTGTCGTCGATGATGAGTTTTTGAAGAGGTATTTCGCCGTTGTTTAATCCTTCTTCCATTCACCTTTCCTCTGGTTTCTTATCAAACTCAGATCCTTATGTTTTTTACGTTGTTGAGTCTTTCTTTTCTCCAATCTTAATGTCATTGTTGTTTTTCTGGTTTTTTTGTTTCGTTTCTAAGCTTTATTGGTTGTATGGTTGAGGAGAGGTTCTGTGAATTGTAAATTTCTGTGAATTGTAAATTCGATCCGAAATAGCAACATGAGGATTTTCACTTTTTTTTTTTTTTTTTTTTTTTTTTTTTTTTTTTTGTGTTTTGATTCTGTAAATTTACTCGTTTGGTGCAGATACGACATCAAGCTGAACGATGCTATCCTTGCAGAGGAGAAACATCTTCCAATGTAAGGGATTGGTTTTCAATTTTCTTACTCGTACTGGTTTGTGGCTGCTACTATTCACGGCTATTATTAGCTATGCTTTTATGTTTTGCGACCTTTATTCCTTTAGGATTACGTGTTTTTCTTGTTTTAAATGTATGCCATTAGTTCTCGAGAGAATCATTCATAGGATTCGACAATAACTTGGGGTTGCGTGAAAATTAAGTTTCTGGTTACAATTTGATTGCTTCCTTCTCAATGAAGAATGAGGAATATAGGAAGACAGTGCTGTTAGATCTTTGACTCGTGTTGATGTTACTTGCTGTTCTATCTTGATCGAGGATACTTCTTTAATTCTTTGTTTTTGTAAAGAGAAAATTTAAAGGATTTGTATCCTAGTTGAGGTAATTTACTTGATGAAGTTTTTCAATATGGATGTTATGTCAATATTCAATCGAACTACTGGACTAGTTGCTAAAATGACGAGAGAACAGCAAGAAGCTGACAATAACTTGGTTACAGAAGTACTTTGCATACTGGCTAAACTACTGTTTGTGGCTTGTGATGCATTCGTTTAGTTGAAAAGAAATCAGGATTTGATGTAACTTTTTAATGAGCCTCATGCACATTTCTTTGTTCTTGTGTATTTCTTTTTGTAGGTATGCAGAATTGGCAAACAATCCTAATGTGGAGTACATTGCTGGAGGTGACGTGTGGATGATTGAATCTATTTGTGTTATTGTGGTTTTGGCACATTTGTGATTTCATGAACTTCTTTTTCAAGTGCAGGTGCTACACAAAACTCGATCAAAGTCGCTCAGGTATACTAATCTTGTTCCCTGGTGAATTTATCCTGTAACCATTTGTTTATTTTCTGGCGTGGGATGAAACTTTTCTCGCCTTTTTCAGTGGATGCTCCAACATCCTGGTGCAACAAGCTATATCGGTTGCATTGGCAAAGACAAATTCGGGGAGGAGATGAAGAAAAACTCGAAAAGTGCAGGTGTTAATGTAAGTTTCACACTCCATCACTATCTTCCATTTTGGTGATAACTGTATGTTTCGAATTCCGATTATTAAGATGTTATTTGCTCATTGGTATCTGAGAAAATAGGTTCAATATTATGAGGTTGATTCTACACCAACAGGAACCTGTGCTGTATGTGTGGTGGGTGGTGAAAGGTTAGTCAAAATCTTATTTGCTTTGATCACTTTAACATTAAGGCAAACATATAAAGTCTGTTCCTTGTAAAAGAATTGGCTATTTCTCAGATTGTTACTTCTGGAAATCATTAATTTAACCAAGAGTCTGTTTTCTCTGACATACAGGTCGCTTATTGCCAATTTGTCTGCCGCAAATTGCTACAAGTCAGATCATTTGAAAAAACCTGAAAATTGGGCATTAGGTATACACGAAACTCATATTTATGGTTTTCAGAGGGCTGTGTGGTAGCTTTTCTTAAAAATTATTGTTCCTTCTTAAAAAGATGTTCTTTAAAAGCTTTGCTACCTTGTTTCTTCTCTAATTTGTCTCGTGGTGGATTATTTTGTACAAGAACCTTGACTAGTGAATTATTCTTATTCTGTAATCTTGTTCATTTTCAAGTTCTCAATCTTAGTTCTTCTAAAAAAAACTGTTCTGCTGAACAAGCTATCAAACAATCCCAAGTTTTTGTTTGAAATATTTTAGGGACCTACAGATTGGATAGATTTTGCATTCATGAGCTAACTTTGATTGTAATTTGCCACGATGACAGTTGAAAAGGCCAAGTATTTCTACATTGCTGGGTTTTTCCTTACCGTATCACCAGACTCCGTGCAGATTGTGGCCGAACACGCGGCTGCAAACAAAAAGGTTCACATTGTGACTATAGTTATATAGTTTACTAAGGCTTCAGAACAAGTAACTAATATTGCCAATCATTTGCAGTATTTCTCAATGAATCTGTCTGCTCCATTTATCTGCGAGTTTTTCAAGGATGCACTGGAGAAAGTTTTACCGTAAGTAGAGTATGAATGTATGTTACGTGGTAAAGGTAAGAAAGTTTGTAGAGTTGACAGGAGATGTCTTTTTTTGTTTATATTTCAGGTATATGGACATCATTTTTGGTAACGAAACCGAAGCAAGGACATTTTCGAAAGTTCAGGGTTGGGAGGTAATGGTTTCCTTGGTCACATAAAGGCTTGAATAGTGATTTTCATTTCATTTATAAACGGAGGCGAACTTTTTATGACCAGACTGAGAATGTCGAGGAGATAGCGCTAAAGATTGCTCAGTGGCCAAAAGCATCAGAAACACGCAAGAGGATTGCTGTTATTACTCAAGGTCCAGATCCAGTTGTAGTTGCTGAGGATGGAAAAGTTAAGAAGTTCCCAGTTATTTTGTTGCCAAAAGAGAAACTTGTCGACACAAATGGAGCAGGTATGTTATGCCGAGCTCGGTGAACGTGTGAACCATCAAGCACGTCCAGGTTTAAGCTAAGTTTGGTACATAAACGAACACCAAAAACGTGTTTTAATTTGTTTGTTCGTTCGTTTTTTAGGAGATGCGTTCGTAGGAGGATTTCTATCTCAGTTGGTGCAAGAAAAACCCATCGAGGACTGTGTAAAAGCTGGGATTTATGCATCAAATGTCATCATACAAAGGTCTGGCTGCACATTCCCTGAGAAGCCTGATTTTAAATGAGCATTTCCTCTCTTGATATCTATCAACCTCTTAGCTTATTTCCAATTGCATTATCTTTGATTCACGAGCTGTGGATGGTAGCTAATATCTTCCCATCCCAATAGCCGTCTACCCTATCCTATCTTTGTTATGCCCAATTATTATAAGAAATGAGCCTTTGCCTTTGGTAATAGCGCCCTCTACTTTTAAGTGTCGTGTCCTGAAATTCATTAGTTTGGCCTTTTAAGCAAATTTGTTCCTCTTTCTTGCTGAAGTTTCTGGCATTTCCATGCCATGATGTATTAGAAAACAAGCAATGGAGGCAACAAACTGAGCTTCCTTTCCCACGGTTGTCTCTTTTGAGATCCACAATGCTTGTGCTTTTGCTTTGTTCTTAATTCTGATTCATTGTGATCTTCATGTCATTCCCACAGATTTGGTGTTCTACATTTTCTTTATCTTATCTAAACACATCTGGTTTTGAATGATGTCTCTTCCTTTTCTTTATTGGAACCGAAAAAAAAAAAAAAAAATCTCGTTTTCTGTTTGACTAACTTGCATCTAAGGACCTCTCTTTCTATTAGAATTTTAAGCCTTTAATTTTATGGCTAGTAGATTGATAAATTTTAATGGTAACATTGAAAGTGTTGAGATTTATTTGATTGGATTCTAAAGTTTATTGGCAAAATAAACACATAACAAAAGGGGGATTTGAGAAACAATAAAAATATGTGAAATTGAAGAGGAATATGCATTTTATTTTCATTTAATAAAAATTCGAACCTAAATAGATAATACAATTAATAGGTTCAAAAGAATAGACCAAAAATGGACCAAAATTCTAGTAATTCACTTAAAATAATGTGTCATCTATATTAAATAAGTTTCGAGCTTTTAATTTTATGTAGAACATATTCCAAACGGTACAACACAAAAATATTTATATAACTTTAAATTCTTAATTTCATGTCTAATTGGTCCATAAATAACATTATAATATAAGCTCAGTGTCTTAAACCTATTTTTAAAAATGTCAAATACGTTCTTAACTAATTATTCTCTTAAAAGTAAATAGGTCCTTAAATTTTAATTTTTGTGTTTAATATATTAGTGACACAACAATTTTTAAATATGAAATAGATCAAATACCTATTAAACACAAAATTTAAATTTCAGGCTTTTATTAAATACAAAAGTCAATTATATATTTAAAAAACGATTAAAGATGTAAAAAAGAAAAAAGAAAAAAAAGTTTTGTTGGAATATTCGTGGCATGATTCCATATAGTTATTTTTAACTATCTTTTTCATTTGTTTTAAACTATAAATTTGTTATGTTGTAAATAACGGTCTCTACCAGCTACTGTACCCATTTACTTGAATAGGTAGAGATTTTTTTCTGTTCTTCTACAAAAATAAAATTTAATTGTTTTGCAAAAAAAAAAAAAAAAAAAAAGCGTAAAAATTACTTCTGGAAATTTCTTTGTTCATTGCCAATGCCATTGGCACCACCGTTGGAAGGTCGTCTAATCCCTATTTTGAGTCCTTTCACAATTTGAGAATCAAAATCACTTATACTCTGCTCCATTTCAACTCTCTCTCTCTGTTTTCCGATCATCCGCCGGCTAATTCCCTGTTTCCGGCGCCGGGAACTCACACCCTTACGGTGGTGGACGAGAGGTATCCGGCGAACCCCACACCCCCCACCCGCCATGGCCGACAATCATCCTCGCCTCGATAACCTCCACAGTACGGCCCAGCTTCTCAAAGAAGCTACCGCCTCCTTCACATCTAATCTCTTCACCTTCCTTTTCCTTTCCCTTCTCATCCTCTCCTTCCGCGTTGTCGTCGAAAATGGCACCCAATATGTCACCTCCTTCATCGACCGCGACCCTTCTCTTAAGGCTCTTCTTTCTCGCCTTGACATTGCAGGGGAGCAACGCCTCCTCCACTCCCCCGAGGACCCTGCCATGTCTGGGGCTGTTGCCCATCGCCAACGTCGCCAGCGTCGCCGGGCTTTTCTGCATCTTACCCGCGTCGGAACCCTAGGTGACGATATCTTCTCCGGAGATGGGGATGACGAGCGTAGCCTCTTAGGGACCAATCGGAATCACCTACCTAACGCCAGTTTCGTGTTCTTTACCCAATTCAGTTCGATCTCAGGGTTCTCAGATCTGGTCGTTGACGATGGAATTAGGGTTTCGGAAGTTGTTCATCCGGGAGTGGGATTCAAGGATATGAGTTCATCTTTTGCTAATGATAAGGAAACTTCTGATGATCAGGAAGAAAACGATAGAAGACTTGGAGAGGAAAATGTTCATCAGGACATGGATAAGCTTGTAGATTTGCAATTTTTCGTCAAAGGATTGGAACTTGGACGTCGGGACGCCGCAGCGCTGTTCTTCTTTGTGAGTTTTCTATCTGCTGCATATATCTGGGTGATGCTTGGCTTTCTTGTCACATATTCATGGGCTTCAGGCATTGTGTTCATCGCTGTTCTTAACGATCTAACACAGAGATTTGGTTCATTTGTTGGTATGGTATGGCATGGATCAAAATTGGGGTTCAAGAGGCTTTCTGGGTTTATCTTGATGAGATGGGCAGTGCGAGATGCACTAACCCAGCTCCTTGGATTATGGTATTTTGGTGAAATCGAAGATCAATATTCATTCTTCAAGCTATTTGTTCGGTTGAAGTTGATGCCATTTTCCATAATGTCACCATGGATTCGTGGGTATGAGAAAGAGATCTCTGGGTTTCTGTTTGCTTGGTTTTTGCTAGATACTCTTGTTGCATTCATCTTTGCAGTGGATGCATGGGTTGTGATTGTGGATGCAAGGCGGAGTGGTAGAGAGATCTTAACAGAAGGTTGTTATTTGATACTCACAATGCTAAACCAAGCTATTCAAATCAAGTGCTTGGAAGCCATTTGTTGTGGGTCTTTCATGAGATGGGCACTTGCAAGAGTTTGTGGGAAACATGTTGCCATGTTTTTTCAGTCAGTGGGAGAGGTGTATTTCATGGTGGTATGGCTAATCTTCTACTTTGCTGCTAGGTGTAGGGATGCCAAAGTGCAGGGACAGAGGTTTGGGCGTAGAGAGCTGGAGGGCTTGATCGAGGGGGTTAGATAATGGTGAATTGATGGCTTGCTGGTAAATTTTTCATTGCTCTGTGCTTGAATTTTTGCATCTGTAGGATCCACCGGTATTTGCTTCTGTACTTGTGTATATTTTACATCAAAATTACTTGATACCAATCAAATGCATCCCAGAGGGATGCGTTGCTGACATCTGTTTTTAGGAATGTCATAAGAATCTGTGGTATGTAGATAGAACTGTAGGGGTCTGTTTTTAGTGTTTTACATGCCATTCTGCATGGGAGATTGAAGAACTATATAGGCTTCACTATGGGAAAGAATTGAAGGTTTTGTGTGTTGTCTGCCGGTCATGATAATTGTCAAAGGAAGCTGTGTGCTACTAATTTACTTGTTGTGGGCTTGTATCTGAATCAGAAGAAGTGATCTACAATGATCAATAATAGGATGGAAGCTTCCCTTTGTTGTTTTCTCTTTTTCTTTTCTTTTTCTGGGGGTGGGGTCTTTGATCAATTATTTAACTGTTGTTTTTGGGATCATTGAAGACTATCGGACGAGGAAATCACTAAGTCAAGTCGGTTTTATTTATGGATATAGGAGATATTGTTCTGTTTGGACTTTCCCTTTCAGGTTTTCTTCAAGGTTTTTAAAATGCATCTACTAGGAGAGGTTTTCACACCCGCCTACACCTTTATAAAGAATACCTCGTTCTCCTCCCCCAACCGATGTGGGATCTCACAATCTACCCTTTGGGGCCTAGCGTCATTGCTAGCACATTGCCTCGTGCCACCCTCATTTGGAGTTCAACCTCATTGCTGGCACAATCGCTCAGTGTCTAGTTCTCTAATCAATGTTAGATTGGGTTGTTTGTTTTGGAAAGGAGGAAAATGGAAATAGAAAAACATGGGATTGAATCATAGATAGAAAATGATTCAAATTCTTACCTACTTGGGTTTTCGAGTGGAAGGTTTGAATTTGTATGAATCCACATGTGGGTGTACAAACTTTGGCGAGGGGCATTGGTTTTTCTCAACCAACCATTTCTATTTTCAGCGCGTTATGACACTTTGATACATGATTTGCATATCATCGCACATGAATATCTGGAAAGGAAAAAGTCAGATGAATACTGAACCATAGATCCTTTGTGAGGGTTGAGTGGTCTTATGACGAGGCTTGAGATTTGGTGAGTTTTACTACTTGTTGTGATCTTGTTGGATTGAAATTTCTTTGTAGTTTTTGAGACTTTCTTTGCGTGGTGTGTAAAGTTACGTGAACCAAGAACATAAACCACTATCATATTTCAATTTAATGGCTAAAGAATCACCACACTAAGTGTTTACTATTTAAGTATATAAAGTTTCTTGTTCAATTTCAACCAAATTTTTAATCACTTACCACAATTAAAGTTGTTTTTATCAAATAATGTTATTTTTGTTGAAAAATATAAATTTAACTTAATTCAGCAATATCATAACACATTGTTACAATTAGTGAGTGAACCAAAGGTAAAAATGAAAAGTTCAGTGAAAATTAATCCAGAAGTAAAAAGTTGATTTTTTTAAAAACTTTTCATGGATGAATGTTACTATCTAAAAGTCCTTACAGATGGTTATAACAAATATAAAATAATTACATCACACACATTATCAATCACAATTTCAGTGGACCTTTCACATTCAGACATTCAGACAGCTATTTCATTTGCTTTTAAAAAAATCATTTCAACAATATAAATAATTCTGAGAAATGTACCTTAAAAAACCATCCCATGGATAGTAGGGCGTCACTGCTGCACTGCAAGAGCCATGATTTACTTCGTAATCCATTCATGTAGCCTGAAAAAGAATCTTAAGAAACATATATGATGATTTGAGAGTTAAAAAAAACATTGGGATACCAATCACATGAAACCAGAATAACGCAAGTACAAAAGGAGCAACTCAAAAGCACTTTAATACCTCAGCAACGATAAGCACTATTCCTTGGAGAATGACCCATTGCAAGATTAAGGCATTCACCAAGTATCATTTTCTATCTTTATACCAAACAAAAACTTGTTACCCTAGAACATCTTTGAGTTTTTAACATAATCAACACAAGCTGGGGCCATCCCCCCTTTTTCCTTGTGTGCTGAAGCTTGTAAAATAGTCAACAATAGTCTCATTGTTTAGTCTCGAGTTGCTGATAAACCTCGGATCTTAACATCGTAGTATACTTCTTCAACTCTTCGCAAGTCATACTTCATTCCTGATTCAATATGAGACAATGAAATGACAGTCAAAATCATGGAAAGAAGAAAATCATATCAAGGATGTGGATGCAGGGCGAAACCCCACGCTTTGACTGTGGAAACTGGAGCAGAAAAGCGATAATGATACCAAAAAGTGAGTAGTTGAAATGAAAATGAAGTGTATATATATAAAAAAGTAGAGACTATACCATCAAATTTTTTGCGGAGAAAATCATTGCGAAGATTAAGCATACGGAAGGCTGCATGAAGATCAGTAAAAAATTTGAGCACCTTTCTTGGACAATCATAGTCTCCAACTGTCACTTGGTTGACAACATATCGTGGCTACAAAAACAGTTGACATCAAATTTATTACAAGTTATAAATGAGAGAACTCTGCATGATAGATACATTCTAATTCAAATGGAATATTTCCTCAACTATGATGTAAAATTTTTGTATTCCTGATATGTTCATTTTCTTCAAGTTACAATATCAACGGCAATTCTAAAAATTCTCACCAATTCATTGGACATGAAACATATTCCTGCAAATTAAACAAAATATCCAAATTAGCAACTCAGCGTGGTTAACAATGTTGAATTGTAGGACAAACAGCATACTGATTCAGAACTGCAGAGTACAGTTGAATGAAAAGCAGACACAAAAAAAACTCTTTAACATAAACTACCAATTTCATCAGCAAACCAACATAGTTCTGGGTGTGGTATTCTTTAGTTCTGGGTGTGGTACAGTTGAATGAAAAGCAGACACAAAAGAACTCTTAACATAAACAATGGTAGTCTCATCAATCACATCACAGATTCTCCAATGCCATGTCTCCAAATTATTGGAACTTAGATTCTTTTCTGATAAGTATCCATGCTCACAAACCATTAGGATACTAGGTCTTTTATCAGTTGGAAGATCATGTGCACCCTTTTTTTATTGTCTTGAATCTAGGTAAACATATCACCACCAAGAAGGAAAGAAAGAAAGAAAAAAGGCAATGTACAAAAGAAATGACTGGTTCTTTCCTTCCAAGAAATACCACAGGTCACAAAACTACAAATACACAGAAAGCAAAAGTAACCATTGTTTACAAATCACAAGGTATGCTCCATGGCAATTAGGTCCTTGCTCACCTAAGGGCCTACGCCAAGAAAGCATTGTATTTGGAAAATAAAAAGTTACAAACAAGTTTTTATGTGATAAAAACACTTTGGATTTTCGAGAAATAACGAATGAAAAATAAATTTTAATCAAAAGTACTAAGAAATGTGGAACTTTCCTTTACTTCGTAGAGGTGCAAAAGCAATAAAAGGAAACTAAAAGACAAAATAAAGCACACCATTTGAATGAAAGTGCTTGCCAGAGAACACCGTCAGGTGCAGTACTTCACCCCTGCTAACGTAATTGCCTAGGCTTGTCTTGTAAACATTGAAAGCAATATAGTCTCTATTCTCTACGTCTCATTGAAACTTGAAGTAAGAAATATGAAATATGAAATTATTGAAAACTCACCAATAAGATAGTCTTCAACATCCAAAGTGAAATCAGATTCATTTACTGCAATCAGACAAAAAATAAAATGAGTTGATTTCCAACTTCGTCATTTCAGAGTAGATATTAAGTAAGTAGGCATAGCATAGATAAAATTATGAGACCACGAACAATTCAATAACAGCAAAAGTGATGCATAAGATCACAGTTCCCCCTGTTCCATACTGGTGAAAACATTGATACAGAGAACACTTATTTGGGCAAAGTACGAATTAGAATCTTATTTAAAAGTAAATAAATGTTGAGGTGAATTACAAGGTAAGGTTAAAAAAGTACGGTTACATTTAAATATTGAGGTGAAATAGCAAATAAGTAGTAAAAATGCATGACATAGAAAGCATTTTTTGGGACAAAAGTAAGGGTGCTCTTCTTCAGCAAGTTGCTTTCAGTTTCCACTTCCAGATAGGCTACGAAATCTGGGCAAAGGCATTATGGTTGTTTTGGGTGAGAAAATAAACAATTTCTTAATTATTAGAATTCGTTGAGGAAATCTGGACAAAGGCATGATGTTAGATTATTCAATGATGACACGACTCTGGAAGATTATTGGGAGGAATAGTCCCACATTGGCTAAGTAAGGGGAAGATCATGGGTCTAAAAGTAAGGAACACGATCTCCATTGGGCAAACAAAAAACAAAGTCATGGGAGTTTATGCTCAAAGTAGACAATATCGTACCAATGCGGAGGTCCGTGATTCTTAACATGGTATCACAATCGTGCCTTTAACTTAGTCATGTCAATAGGATCCTCAAGTGTCGAACAATCAAAGTGGACAATATTGTACCAATGCAGAGGTTCGTGATTCTTACATGGTATCACAGCCATGCCTTTAACTTAGCCATGTCAACAGAATCCTCAAGTGTTGAACAAAAGGTGTATTTTGTTCAATGAGAGAATTGTTGAGGACTATTGGGAGGAGTAGTCCTACATTGGTTAATTAAGGGGAAGATCATGGGTTTATAAGTAAGAAACACCATCTCCATTGATATGAGACCTTTTGGGAAAACCAAAACCAAAACCATGAGAGCTTATACTCAAAGTGGATAATATCATACCAATGTAGAGGGTCGTTATTTTTAACAACTTCCAGAAGAGAAACAAGTATCCTATTAAGTTCATTAAACTCAAATACTTCAAATGTGAACAGAAACAAAAAATACAATGGCAATATACATACACCCAAGTTTTTCCTCAGCTTCGGGGTGCAAAAGAAGTTCCCCTGTTTCTAGCCAATGAATAAAAGCAAGCAGTGAAACAGCTGTCTGCGTCTCACTCCTCCAGTCTCCGTGGTACCTAAATGAAAAGGTAATAAAGGCACAAGCAACTTGCAAAAAATCAAAATCCACAGCAGTTCAAATCGCGAAAGGATAAACCAAGAAAACGGGAGATCATGACTAGTTGTCTCACCTATAGTAAAGACCAGGGCTCTCACGAAGAATTTCAGCCAGTCGCTTGTAGAGCGACTTCAATAAACCAACCTGCGCTTTTGGCTTTTCAAGAACCTCTACACAAGAAAAACCAGGTAAAGAAGAAAATTCAGATTCCGGCAATCTTATCACGATGATCCCCGACTAACTACATTTAGCCTCGCGAGTCAATATACCGAACAAAAGGAAACAGAACGAGATAAAAACTCTTCCTCTCCCCCTCAAAAAACCAGAACCACACACGCAGAATCCTCAAAACCACAAGAGCACAGCATCAGACAATATCAATATATCACGCAAAAAACAAAAAACAAAAAACTCAGTACCAGGAGCTAGACGAGACTGATGAACCAGAAGCAAGCTAGCCTGCATGAGCCTCGTGGATGACTCGATCTCCATGGCCACACTTCGAATTCGGTCGCGTAAGCTTCCAGAATCTTCTAGCTGAACTCTAAAATCCACGAATTGCTTCTCCACAGAAGAAGATGCAGCAGGTGCGTCGGCGTCGGCGCCAGCCATTGAAGAGGAGGAACAGAAAAAAGAAGAACAGGGCGAGCGATAGGGTTGTTGTTGACGCTTGATCCGCAATGGAAGACAAGAAACAGCAATGGATTGAAGCGAATGTAAGGAAAGGATTAGGGGAAAACTGCTAGGGTTTGAAGTAGGGTTTAAGGAGCGGGAGAAAATGAAGTAAGCATTTCGAAGCGCTGAGTTCATCGTTTGGCGGTGGTTTTATTGGACGATGAACTGTTTCGTAGCCTTAAAATCTCGCGGGCTCCGCCAATTTCGTTGATAATTCCATTTTGACTTAGGGTTGACCATAAATTTTAAATTATTTTATAATAAAATGTAGAAATATATACTAATTTAAATTTTTATAACCCATTGATCATCGAAATAAAGTTAAACAAATTTAAATGAAATTACAAGTCATTTAAACACCATTTTAAATGTATTAAGCTTGAAATTTTTAATTCTACCCATGTTTAATGAAATTGGTGGTCGAATATTATCTTTAGAATAATTTATAATTTATGGAAGATAATTATATGAAATATTATTTTTATTAGCTACGTCACACACATGATGTAAAAAAAATAAAAAAATTATGATTTTGACAATTTATTTATTTATTTTGAAATATGGCTGATTTTCTTTTTTTTTTTTTTTTTTTTTTTGTTAAAAAAAGTAATAATAATACAATAATACGTGATATTTTTTTTTTTGTTCGAGCAAGAAGTCATTTGAAATTCGACATTATTATATTATCATATTGAATAAAAATATAATAATACGTGACATTATATTGACAATATTGCAACTTATTGTCAAGCTTTCTATTTTTAAATAAATTATATTGTCATGTTGAATAAAAATATTATATATAATTGTCGTTTTTATTTTGTGAATTTTAATGTTTTTATACGTCATTGTCATTATAATAATTTCATTTTAAATTTCTTTTTCAACTTTTATATTACCATATTTTAATTCTATTATTGAGACTATCGTCACTTTAAAATAATTTATTTATAATTAAATTAAGACCATTTAAAACTCCCTAAGTTCGACACATGTCAAATATGAAAAAAAACAATAGTTGGTTGAAGACACATTTGTCTCCAATTGTCTAACCATTAGTCTTAACTGTGCCAATTCATGAGTAAACTCAGACCTTTCGATCGACCATATTCAAAGCTAAACCAGTCAATAGCTTCAACTCGAACCAAACCGTTCGATAGTGTCACATAGAGAACCATCGACCACGTAAACTTGTATATAACCATTCAATTTGTTCGAGGTTGGCACTCAAAACTAAACTACTCTAGCTAGAGTGTGGACTTTTAATTTGAAAAAGTACAATAATTGTGAATTATTTCCAAAAATCTTAAATAAAAAAAAAAAAGAAATTGTACTGCATCATCTTCTTCTTTTTCTGGTTGGCCACTCTGATGATTTATGACGTCAAATTCATCAATGGCCATCTTTCGCCTTCAAATTGAATTGAAATTGAAGCAAAACCCATATTGTTTATATCCCATAATCAAGAATTTTTCAATCAAAAGCCGCAAAGGGTCGGCCACAACCAACCCAACAAATCTCAGTCGCTTGATTTTCCACCATCCATTCGAAATCCAATCTCATCCGTTCTTCGCCGCCTCCGTTCTTTGACCATCGCCGATCTCCACCGTCAAATCCGACCTCTGAAATTAACACCCATGATTTCTTGATTACGGGGTTTATCATTCTTTTTTTCTTAAACTAGAATCCCATCACATCAATCGTTGAAGTATTAGCATGAAACTTGGCAGCCATAGCCAGTTCTTTTGAACAAACTCGCTCGAAAGGGCGTTTAAACGGCTCGAAAGGGCGACTATACTGTATAGATAGATGTATATGGATTCATATGGCATGAGTTTCGACTGTTTGTTTTAATTTATTGATTTCTGTTATTTTGCCCATTTTCATTTTCAATGCGTTCATCGTCATCCTTGGTGCTGATTAACTTTCCGTAATTGCTCCCTGACCTGTGAACCTCTTATTTCCTGTTCTACCCACCTTGTTCATTCGAGCTAAAACGGAGTTTTCGTTCGTGGCTGCGAATTCAAGGTAATTTGTGACTGAAAATTGGACGTATATGCTTCGATTATGTCGAACTTGTTCTTGTTTATTGAATCGCCAGGAAAGGATTACACATATGCATTCATTTCTTGAAAACATCTTGAAATTCTAATTTGTTTTTGTATCTAGATGGTTCCTTCTGGTTATGAAGCGGATGTTATTGGGTGGGGTCGTCGTCTTTTTGATGATGATTCAGTTTTTAATTCTGGGTATTACGGTGAGATGACAACCGTAGATGACCATTACCCTGGGAATTATTACAGAGATCATTACAATTTAGAACACAATTCTGTGGAGAATGATGAGATTATTGCTAGAACTCTGCAAGAAAACTTGTCACAGTTATCAATTACAGACTCCTCTAGATACCCAGTTGAAAGAGAGGAGCCATTGCAAGGATCCATGTATACAATTGGTTGGCATAATTCATTTCCTAGGAATAACAATTCAGGTATTCATTATGCCTTTTTGTTCCAATGTTCATCTCTGAATTGTATAGCTTATATGTTTGTTCTTGATGACATTTTAAGTTCCTATTGTAGAGAGTATTTCTTCTCCTGAGGAAGATTTTGAAACTCATGATCCTCCCAGTTCATGTTCTAGTCTTGGGGATGAGAACTTCTATTCACATGCTGTTGATGGTGAAGAACTCTGGAGATTCAATCAAATGATTCCTGTTCCTGTAGGTTTAAATACATAAAATTCTGTCTCTTTGCATCATGTTCATTTCTTGTGTAGACTCTAATTTGTTTGGCGCTTCGCCTCTTTACATGTTCTGTACTTGCAGAGTCTTGGAGATGGTTGTTTTTGCCTCAACCTCCTTATGTTTTGTGTCATAGTCTTATTTCTTTTCTTACTTATCTATGCAGCTCTAGTGCTCTTTATCCATGTAATTTCTACTGTTGATGATTGTTGGGAGAGGAGAGGAGTCCCGTATCGGCTAATTAAGGAGTTGATCATGGGTTTGTAAGTAAGGAATATTATCTCTATTGGTATGAGGCCTTTTGGGGAAACCAAAATCGAAGCCATGAGAGCTTATGCTCAAAGTGGACAATATCATACCATTGTGGAGATTCGTGGTTCCTAACATGGTATCAGAGTCATGCCCTTAATTTAGTTATGTCAATAGAATCCTCAAATGTCGAACAAAGAAGTTGTGAGCCTCGAAGGTGTAGTCAAAAGTGACTCAAGTGCAAACAAAGGGTGTACTTTGTTCGAGAGCTCCAGAGAAGGGTCGAGCCTCGATTAAGGGGAGGCTGTTCGAGGGCTCCATAGGCCTCAAGGTAGGCTCTATGGTGTACTTTGTTCGAGTGGAGGATTGTTGGGAGAGGAGTCCCACATCGGCTAATTAAGGGGTTGATCGTGGGTTTATAAGTAAGGAATACTATTGCGGTTGGTACGAGGTCTTTTGGGGAAACCAAAAGCAAAGCCATGAGAGCTTATGCTCAAAGTGGACAATATCATATCATTGTAGAGATTCGTGGTTTATAACATCCACTTCATCTATACTGCTTGTTGCTGTAGTTTTTTGTGGATTATAAGACGTCTGTTTATTTTCGATTTTCTTCTGAGCGTACAGTTTTGGGACGAGACTAACCATTTCTGTGAATTGAGCAGCATGTTCCTAGAATTAACGGAGAGATTCCTTCAGTTGATGAAGCTGCTTCTGATCATGAAAGGCTGCTGAACAGGTATCTTCTCAAAATTTTGTACGTCTGAGAAATTGGTCTTTAAACTGTACAATAAGAGGAACCTACGATGCCATAGCCTTCTTAATATATAGTCATATTCTCTAGCTACCTTAAATCTTCTGAGAAATTGTATAATAACTTAGGAAATTTCTTCTCAATTCAGATTACAAGTGTATGACTTTGTTGAACGAAAGGTTCAAGGTGATGGCAATTGTCAGGTTTGTTATTCCCTGCTTTCTATCTTTTTACTTTTCTTTTGTTGGTTTTTTCTGCTGATTTTTGGTTCATTTTAAATAATGGTAATCGGTTCGGTCACGGTCATATTCATTCGTTTGCTTTCTGTATTCTTTCCCAGTTTCGTGCATTATCTGATCAATTATATGGAACACCTGACAATCACGAACTCGTGAGACAGAAAGTTGTAGATCAGGTTTGTCATCCTGGAAAACCGAAACACGATCATTGATATCACGAATTGGTTTACTTATCTTGCATTTTACCACGACTCTAGATCTTTGAATTGTTTGTTTTCTTGCCAAAAGCTTATGTCACATCCAGAGGTTTACGAGGGATATGTCCCGATGGCGTATGTTGATTACTTGGAGAAGATGTCCAGGTTCTAACCGATTTCTTTTCTTTTTCTACCTTACTCTCCTTCAAAACACCATGTTCACCTTTTACTTCTATGAGGCAGGAACGGTGAATGGGGTGATCATGTCACATTACAGGCAGCCGTGGATTCGGTAAGGTCTACATAGAATTCACTGCCTAAATTTTCTTTCAAATGAGGTTTACAGCATTTTGTTATTTTGTTATAGTAAGTAACAGTTCACTGCTAGCAGATACTGTCCTTTTTGGGCTTTCGCCTTCCGCGCTTCCCCTCAAAGTTTTCAAACGCGTTTGCTAGGGAGAAGTTTCCACAAAAGAATGTTTTGTTTCCCCCTCCAACCGATGTGGGATATCACAATCAACCCCTTCGGGGCCAACGTCTACGCTGACACTCGTTCCTCTCTCCAATCGATGTCGGACCCCCCAATCCACCCCCTTCAGGGCCCAGCATCCTCAATGACACCCGCCTAGTGTCCACCCCCATTTGGGGCTAGCCTCCTCGCTGGCACACTGCCCAATGTCTAGCTCTGATATCATTTGTAACGACCCAAGCCCACTGCCAGCAGATATTGTCTTTTTTAGGATTTTCCTTCCGAGCTTCCCCTCAAAGTTTTAAAACGTGTCTGTTAGGGAGAGGTTTCTACACCTTTACAAAGAATGCTTTGTTCCCCTCTCCAACCGAGATGGGATCTCACATGGTGTCACTCTATTCTAGATAATTTCCTTTGGTTAACTCCTACGGGGGTTGAAGGCAACGATAATATCTTATCATTCCTCGTTAAGGAAATCAATCTTGCCTTTTGGTTATCTCCCTATCTGTTGCTCCAATACTTTAATTTCAGCTACTGAGCTTACAATCAATGAAGTTAGTTACATGTGAACTGCATCCTTGTCTTGACATTATAATCATCTTCTGATGCAGTATGGCGTGCGAATATTCGTTATAACTTCTTTCAAGGATACCTGCTGCATAGAGATTCTTCCAAATTCTCAGAAGACAAAAGGAGGTAAACAATACATATTTGCAGATGACTGGTGATCTTATTATTAGCCTTATTTTAACTCTTTCCATCCCCCTTTGTTTTTTCTTCTTCTTTCATTTGAATGTTGCGTTTCTAAAATTGTCTTATTGTTTACCCCTTCAATGGTTCACCATCGAACTTTATCTCGTTCGTTGTTTTTATTTGCCGTTCTTCATTATCTTTAAGTTTAATTTGCATCGATACATGGCTCAAGTCCTGTTTCCATTTTTCTTCCCCGTCGATATTATTGCCTCTGATTGTAGCTATACCATGCGTTCGCAGTAATTTTCTTGAGTTTTTGGGCAGAGGTGCATTACAACTCAATTCATCCTCAGGGAGGTAAATACTGTTCCCAACTTTGTATTGTGTTTGTCATTGCTTGAAATAGGGGTATGATAAATAGCTAAGAGGACTTATTTGCTTTAGCCAAACTAAGTTGTAAGTAACCTTGGCTCTTCGAGGGTATTCTTGCTTAGGAGATGCCTAATTTATTTTAGGTAAAAAGAAAGAAACACTCTCTTCTTCCGTTTGTTTTAGTACAAATGTACTAAGTTGCCTATTAGGATCTTTATGTCGAAGATTGTTGGAAGAAGAGTCCTGGTTATGGGTTTATAAGTAAGGAATATTATCTCCATTGGTACGAGGTTTTTTTAGAAAACTGAAAAGGCCATGAGAACTTATGCTCAAAGTAGACAATACCATACCATTGTGGAGGATCGGGATTCCTAACACTTTCAGTTAGCTCAATTGACTTTGACAAGAATGATTTAGAGTGTTAAGCCATTCACTTAATAGCATGTTTGAGCTTAGCTTTGGTCCAACTCGATCTCCGTGCTTAAAATTTTATGATGTTTTGCTATACATTCAGGTATGCCATCAACTGGAGATTCCCCACCCTGTGAGTTGAGAAAGAAGAAAAGATGGTGGAAATTTGGAAATAAGCATTGAAAAGCCCTGCTGCCTCAGACTCCTGAACTTCTATTGCTCAAATGCATTCCTTTGTTAGTGGCTAACATTACACATGCCTTGAATTAGTTAATGACAAAATAAATAGACTCTTCTTTCTTTCTGTTGTCCCCTCCATAAAAGCTTAAGCAGGGTTGTTTGCCTGTGTTAGTTTGGTTTAATTGGAAGGGATTTTGAGGGAGAAACGGATTGTAATGTGTTATTCTTTTGATAGAAATGCAAGAGCATCGAGGACCTTTTCTCTTCGAAAGCGTTGAGTTTATCGTTTATCGTTGTCATTAATTGAAATCGTTTATTGTTTATCGTAATCAGTGCTAAACCAGAGAAATTGTGAGATCCCACATCGGTTGGGGAGGAGAATAGAGCATTCTTTATAAATGTGGAAACCTCTCCCTAATAGACGCGTTTTAAAAATCTTGAGGAGAACTCTGAAAGGGAAAGCCCAAAGAGGACGATATTGGCTAGCGGTGGATTTGGGCTGTTACAAATGGTATCAGAGACAGACATCAGGCGATGTGCTAGCGTGTCAGCGAGGAGGCTGAGCCTCTAAGGGGGGTGGACATGTGGTTGGTGTGCCAGTAAGGACGCTGGGTCTCGAAGGGAATGGATTAGGGACTCCTACATCGATCAAAGAAGGGAACGAGTGCGGGCCTCAAAGGAGGTAGATTGTGAGTTCAAAGAGAACAATATCTACTATTGATGAGCTTCTGCCATCATGTTCAATGCCAGCTTCTTTCATTTCATTCCATTCCATTCCATCTTTTCATCTCCTTGCTTCCTCTCGCAGATTCGATGTACAGACACACCCTAACTACATAAACGCATCAATCTCGAACCCCTTTTGGTACATGATATCTTTTGTCAATCATTTCTTTTTCGACAGGACCCATCTATCAATAAATCGAATATCACTAGATTTACATCAATCCCTTCGCTTTGCATGTTATCTCAACTACCTCCATCTGCCCTGTCTTGCACAAACCATTTAGAAGAGCTCCATAAGAAATGCCTCCTCGTGTAGATATTGTCTTTATTTTAGCTTTTTTATATTTCCAGACAAATAATAATATTAGGAAAAAAAAAACTTAATGATAGCCTATTTATTCCTAAATACTTCCATCAATATTATAACAACGAAAATTAAACATAATATTTAAAATATATGAAGATCGAATCTATATTCGATAAAAAGAGAAAGAGAATCTAATCTCGCTCCAATAATAAAAAGATTATTCTATATTTTTATTATTTGAAAGAGAGAGTATGAGAATTTATTGCAGGGGTTTGAAAGCCAATCAAATTGAAGAAGACTGCACGTGTAGTCTCAATAATGCTGAAATTGGTCAATTTTTACGTGTATACATATACACACGGACAATATAATACCTTAATATTGTCAAAATATTTTAATTTCTTAAATAAAAAAAAAATACGTCTTATCTTATCCAATTAAAAAAAAAAACATACATCTCTATTTTCGTATTTTTAGTCACTATACTTTTAAAATATCCATCTGGGTCCTTATATTTTCATCTTTAATTCATTTTGGTTCCTGTACTTTTAAAATTCGACTAGATTTAAATGGGTTATTTGAAAATAATTTTGATATAGTACAAAAATTAATGGTGTCTGCAAGTGATTTGAAAAAAAAGGACAGCAGCGATTAATGATTGATGAAGGGAGAAAAATGAGGGCATTGAATAAGAGGGAGTGGGGCCATGGGCAGCTGAGCTTCCTGCTGCGAACCTTGTAGAAAATAAAATCACCTCTACATCTCTTCTTTCTATAAAGTCCTCTCTTTTAAGCCCTTAAACACCTCAAACTCCTTCAAATTCTTGGCTTTTGATGTTCAAAGCCCACTTTTTTGGCAAATTGGAGGCGACCCAGAAGAGAAAGTTGAGATCTTTGAGGGTTTTTCTTGGTGAATATGAGAGAAAGTAGCAGCAGCAGCCATTGCAGAAGCTTGAGTAGCAATGGTGATGGAAGAAGAAGAAGAAGAAGAACAGGGGAAGTGGAAAATGGTGAGCATCATAATGGGTTTGAGGGTGTTGGGTGCAAAGGTTTTGGTGAAAAGTGTAACAATTTGGTGAAGAAACAGAGGACCAAGTTTTATATTCTTAGAAGATGTATTGCTATGCTTCTTTGTTGGAAAGATAGAGGAGAGTCTTGAAAAATACTCTCCTTTTTAGGTTATTGATATTGTAATGTTGAATTTTGTATGATATTTTTCTTTTTATATCATATAGTTTTGAAACATTATTATTATTCTTGTTACTTATGATTCATTATGTTCTTAATTGAGTTTCTCAAAATGGGTTCAATTAGGGTTCCAAAAAAACGCCTCTTTTTTTGCTTCTTTTCTTCATACTTTCAACTCTCGGGCCATAGTGTTTCGCTACCTAATCTTCCAACAAGTTAGTTTAACAGAACTATTTTTTTACTGAAACAAAGTTAACTGTAACTTGATTGGAGAAAAGGACGGCTAGTTAGTGATAAAATTATGTTAGTTGTAATTAATTAATATTATTTTTCTATCTATAAAAAAGACATAATACTAATGAGACATCTTAGAGCACTTAAAAGTTGATTTGAAATGTGTATACAGTGAAGTATGATGGGTAGCAACTCTTGTTCCCTCAAACCCATCATCACCGCTTTCGTACTTGTCGTTTGAGATTACTCAAAACATGTTTCTCGCGCGAATTTAGTATCAAAATAGATAATACTATATCGTGGTAGAGATATGACGATATCTACCGTGTTAAGCTTAGCAATTAACAATTCTCGAATATTGAACAAAAAGTTGTACGTATGATGAAAAGATCTCGGAGAGAAAGAGTTTGTTAAATCTTTTCGGTGAGAAACATAAAAGAAGGAGTTTTTAGTATGTTTGAGCTCGACCCTTGTTGTGTTTGGTAAGTTTGTAGGCTCGAGTTTGAAACTATGGGTTAACGTAAAAACGAGGCAACGAGTGAGATGTAAACGGGTATCGGAGATTAGGGTTTTGGAAGGGGAAGAAGCGACCGACAGCAAGAATCGTTTGGGGGAGCAAGAGATGGGAGTAGTGTGTACGGTTGGCTGCAAAGCTTTCTCCTGTTGGACAGAGACACCACCCTCGTGCGGCCTTCCAAAAAGCACTTCCACCACACACTAAATTCTACTCTTTTTATTTTATTTTATTTTATTTTATTTTATTTAAATAATATTTATTTCTTACTTTTTTATTTATTATTATTTTCTCTCTTTTTTCTTGGGGTCCCATTCTCAATTTCCCTATTCATTCCTCTCCTTAAAACCTCCCTTTCTAGCTAAAACCTTCCTCTTTTCCTTTTTATATATATTTTTTTAAAGCATTTTCTCTCTTTTTTTTTAACGTTTGAGTGAAGTTACGTTTTTACCCTCCTACTCGTGTTTTGAATTGTAGTTATTATCTACTAGATTGGGTTACATGGAGTTGTGTTTTTGAAAAAGAAACGGGTATTTCTTATATATATATTAGAAAATTATTGTTTTCCTATTGTGTACATTAAAAGAAGTAAGATTGAGTCTGGCCTCTTGATACAAGGAAGAGTTAAATACGTTGGAAAATGAAAATGGGTCAATAAGGGGTAATCTGGTAAATTAAAGAAGGGACCCATCTGAAACACGTGCAATCTGAAAACGTTGAAAAAAGTTCTAAAATAATAAAAATAAATGCGTAAAATAATTTAGTTTGTATAATTGAGGATCAGAATTGGTGCCCATGCACGTGCGGTTCCACATAAGAAGTTGGGATTTTTTTTTAAAAAAAAAAACTTCTAATTATTATTTTCAGCTTTTTTTTTTTTTTATCCGACCTAATTTGTTTTTTTCGGTATGCATGACCCTATATGCACGAAACTATAGCCCTGTAACAAGAGCATTTGATTCTTCCTATACTGCTCGAAGGGTTAGTCGTAGAGAGGAACACCCCTCACCCTTTACATTTTCCTATACACGTTGAATGAAGGTAGCTTACCCCCAGCCGCTAGTTAGAAGGAAATCTGTTGAATGCCCTTATGCAGTAAAGAAAGCAAGTAAGGACTTCGTTTATGCCCTTATGCAGTAAAGAAAGCAAGTGAGGCGGGCTAAGCTTCCATTCGAAGTAAGGTAAGAGGATTCGATCTTGCACCATCTTCAAGTGTTTTCGAGAAAAGGTCCAACCCATTAATATCATGATTAGGTCGACCAAGCATGGAACGGAACGGCCAGATTAGGTAGGGAAGATGATCCTCACCTTACATGGTGCAGCCAAGTTCCACCCAGTTAAAAGTAGGGATGATAATTATTAATCCAAGAATATGGCAGCCCTTCCTGTAAAGGATTAAGAATCAACATCCAAAACTCTAATCAGAGAAGCTGTTCTTGAAGGGTGTAGTATGAACATCTTGATTCATTCTACTTCCCTTCACTACACTCAACCTACTTCCCTTCACTACACTCAACCTCAAACCTTTGACGGATTGAACTCGGTAAAGATTAGAGTATTATGATAAGTAAATCAGGCATAAATCAACTCGTTTATGTGAAGAATGAGAAAAATAATCACATTCAAATAGAATCTGTTCAGTTTTTGTGCAGCCCATAATAAAAACTATGGATTAACAAAAGGATTTCTCCCCAACTCCTTTCTTTCCATCCAACAGTTTGGATTCAGGAATGTCCAACCAAAAGCAGATCCATAGGAAGCATTTAAACAAGTAATATCATACTACTGAGTCTAAACATAAATGAGGTTGGAACCTGAATGACATACTAGTTGTAGAGGTCATCTTCATCAGCCCCACCAGCAGAAGTTGCAAATGGGTCCGATGGAGTCGGTCCTGAGCTCTGCTCCGAGAACCTGAACTCGGCTCCGAAGCCTCTAGACTGCTGAAGTGTTTGTGCAAATGCCTGGTATTTGCGGATGTCGGCATCGCTCACACTCCTTCGGGCATACTTCATAGATTCCTCAAAGTGAGCAGCTTTGATCTCGGCCACTTCGTCATCTGCATCCTCCTCCATGGCCTCGGGGTTCTCGCTTTTCCTCCTCTCCTTCTCAATATCCTGCACAGAGCATCAATAGTGATCAATACTCCTGGCTTGTGGGGTGGAGGGGTTGGATTGCAGGCATAATGGATAAAAAATTCATCTGAAAGTAAGAAAAAAAAAAAAAAAAACCTTCTCGATGTTCTCTCTGATAGCATATTTGCAGGCACGCTGACAGATCTCTGTGATATCAGCACCACTGAAGCCTTGAGTGTACTTGGCAAGGGCTCTGAGTTCTACATCTTTAGAGATTGGAGATTTTCTCAAGCAAGCCTTGAAAATTTGAAGGCGAGATTCTTCATCAGGAAGAGGGATATAAATTAGCTGATCGAGACGTCCAGGACGTAACAGAGCGGGATCTATGATGTCTGGTCTGTTGGTGGCACCGATGATGAAAACAGTCTTCTTTGCTGACATTCCATCCATTTCTGTGAGAAGTTGGTTCAGTACACGATCAGCAGCACCTCCAGCATCCCCAACGCTACTACCCCTCTGCAAGTAATGGAAAAAGAAACAACAAGGTCTAAGAATCCACCCAAAGAAAAACAATAAGATCTTCATTGATAAACAACATGACGCACTTGGGTAGCGATTGAGTCGAGTTCATCAAAGAACAAGACACAAGGAGCAGACTGGCGGGCCTTGTCGAAGATTTCACGAACATTGGCCTCACTTTCTCCAAACCACATAGTGAGCAACTCTGGACCCTTGACACTAATGAAGTTTGCTTGACATTCATTTGCAATAGCCTTTGCCAGAAGAGTCTTTCCACATCCAGGAGGGCCATAGAAAAGAACTCCTTTTGAGGGCGACATTCCGAATTTCTCAAATTTCTCAGGGTGTTCGACGGGATATTGAACCGTCTGCATAAAACAACATAAGATGAACAAAGAATATATAGGTGAATAATAAGAAAAAATATATCAGACTTACCTCTTGAAGCTCCCTTTTAACATTCTCAAGACCTCCAATGTCCTCCCATGAAACATTAGGAACTTCAACAACCTGGTCATTGAAACTCAATGCATTAGGGTACATCCGAAGGGATGGTCTGAAGGGTGGGAGAAATATCGAGGCAACAGAGTCACTGGCAGTCATCTGAGCATAAATGAGTACTACTTACTGTTTCGCGAAGAGCTGATGGGTTGCTGGTTCCAAGAGCTGTCTGGAAATGCTCATTTGTAACTGCCATTGAGTTGAGTATCTCAGCATCGATAGAGTCGTCTTCCAAGTCTATTACATCCATCTTCTCTCTAATACATTGAAGAGCAGCCTCGGTACAGAGAGCGGCCAAATCAGCACCAACGTAGCCATGTGTATCTTTGGCAATCCTTTCTAAATCAACCTGAAATATTAATCATCAGATTTCAATTAACTCTTAGTTATCACCACAAGCAAGAAGAAAAAAGAATTATTGGGGAACTGACTTCTTCAGCAAGCTTCATGTTCTTAGTATGAATGCGTAGAACTTCTAGACGCCCAACTTCATCAGGCACACCAATATCTATTTCCCTATCAAATCTTCCAAATCTTCTCAGAGCTGGGTCAATGCTGTTGGGTCGATTTGTAGCACCAATCACAATGACATGTGCACGAGACTTCAATCCATCCATGAGCGTCAGTAGCTGTGAGACAATTCTTCGCTCAACTTCCCCATTGGTCTTCTCTCGCTTGGGAGCAATTGAATCAATTTCATCAATGAAAATAATAGATGGCGCATTCTTTTCTGCTTCCTCAAAAGCTTTTCTGAGGTTGCTTTCACTTTCACCAGCCAACTTCGACATGATTTCAGGTCCATTGATACAGAAGAAAAATGCACCAGTTTCGTTGGCAACAGCACGTGCAATCAAAGTCTTACCTGACCCAGGTGGTCCATACAGCAAAATTCCCTTGGGCGGCTTCACACCAATTGATTTAAATAGCTGTGGATGCCTCAATGGCAGCTCGACCAATTCACGAATCTGAGCCATTTGTTTCCTAACTCCACCAACATCATCATAACCAACTTCATCTAATCTATCCTCATCCTCCCTTTTCACAGGCTCTCCTTCACAAAAGATCTCAGTGTCTGGGGCTACCACACAGTATTCAGCTGGATCGGTCTCAATAACCTTGAACTCTACACTCCTCATTCCCCCTCTCACAAGGAAGAGATCGCCCTTCCTCGAGGGACGATATGCCTCCAAGAAATAGGCTGCAAATAAAAGATCGTTGGAGTGTCGTGAAACGATATATTAAAATATTGTAAAATCAAAGAAATACAGGCATGCTACTAGTGGGTATCCCAAATATGCCTTTTCAGAACACTCAAGTGTTGATTGAAATCAGTAAGCCTTACGATCATTCACGCATATGCCGGTAACAGATGTTATAACAAGATAAATGAAACCACATTGGTATAGTTTTTGAAGGAAGTTGATGAAGATACAAAACTTACGTTTTAAATATGCGTCAAAAAGGTTTCCAGTAACTCCTTCAATAGTATCGTCCACAGGAAGAATATGCACACGCTTTCCATACTTAACATCAGCACATTGGTGCACAGAGACAACATCACCAAGCCTAACCCTAAGATTGCTTCTCACAACCTTGTTCATCCTTATTTTAGGCTCATCACATGTATCATCAGCTAGAGCAATGCATATTGTGTCCTTTCTCTTCTTACCCTGAAACCAAATACAATATAGAAACGAACACAAATAAAGAAAACTGGAAATTTATAATCACAGATCCCTCGTTCCAATATCATCGAGCTAAAATGTAAACTTTTAACATCATATTTGAAAGTGTATCAAAAAGAGAACCCCACAAACAATTGATTGAATTGAAGTATGCTTACACTTAACATTTGTGTTCATAACTATTAGCAGCCTCAAAAGAACTCGAATAGTAAAACTAGATATTCATAACTATCTAGCTTGAGTATCAACGTCAGGACTTTAGATAATATGTTTACAAGAACAAAAGCATAAGATTGGGAATCTTAATCCCCATCCCTTTAGATTAAAAACCCTTAAAACAGAAACCCAAAAGTCCAAAAGAAACAAGCATAAGTAATAAAATAAAATTCCAATCCGGAACGAAAATGGTATATCCGGATCACCCAGTACACTACAAGCTTAAAACCTCAAATAATGGATCAGAAATTTCCAAATCTACAAAGGGTAATACAAGTGTGAATAGAAGAAAAATTCCCCTAAATCAGAAAACAGTTCATCGAATGAGAATGATCAATCTACATGGCCAGAAGACAAACCTTGATGAGGATCGTATCCCCACGGAAGAGTTGAAGCTTCTCCATGGTATCCGGATGAAGCGCGACCACCGAGTTATCATCGTTGATTGCTTCATCGACGACAAGTCGATTTGGGGCTTTCTTCCGCTCCAAAATGGCGGTACTGAAGTCTCTCTTCGTACCTTTGCTGGAGAAACACAAAAGGAAAACAAAATTTCAGGAAGATGAAGGAACAAAGAATACCATTTGATTGAGAACTCAAATCCTTGAAGATAATTCGGATCTGGAATTGGGAGGGAAAAAAAGGGCTTACGAGTCTGACGATTCAGCTTGATTTGCCATAATCAACAGATACGGAGGGTCAGGCAAAGAGAATCAGAAGGAGAGATTTTCCGGTCGAAGTTGTGATACTAAGACTTTGGGGAAAAATCCTCAGACGATTAGCGGTATTTGTAGGTGAGGCTTCGCCATTTTCTTGTTCGGAAAGAAAGGTCTCTTTTTTTATTTTATTTTTATTTATTATTATTATTATTATTTAGTCCATTTAGTTTCAAAAACCGAATAAATAGTTATTTATGCGAGTTTTCTCAAACAAAAAAAAAAATCTTAAATTCAAACTTTCTCTAAATTATCAATTTTAAATTTTAAATTTAACTTTTTATTTTTTTATATTTATCTTTTTAAATATTTTCCATATTATCAATGAAATTATATTTTCTACTTAATTTAAAAGTAAATACTTATTATATTTTTACTAATCAATAACTTTTAAATTTTAAGTTCGTCAAATATTTATAACAAATTCTAAAAATAAAAAAGAAAATAATAAGAATTTTTTATATATAAAAAAAAGTATAAATTGATATAACTTTGAAAATTCAAAAGGATATTTATTTGATTTAAATTGATATACTTATGAAAGTTCAAAATTGATACGTTAAAACTGTTTATTGGTATGATCACTAAATTTACCTTAGTTTATAAACTAGTCCTCGTTTCTATCTCTAAATTATTTCGTTACGTTTGTTTCAAAAGTAACACATAATCTCGAGATTGAATTTTAATTTGTTCTTGAAATTGATTTTTAATTGACCCCTGATAAAAATGTCTCAAGACTCGTTTAAAAACATGTCTTAGACTCAGTAATTGTCGGGTCGAGTGCAATATGAAATCACAGAACAGAAAAATGAAAAATGAAAAATGCATAGCAGAAAGTTGAAGAACAAATATCACAAATTTTGGCAATTGGGTGGGTGGGGGTTGAAGATGTTCTTGTACAATTTACAGGAACTGAACACACAGCCCTCATTAACAAACAAGAAGAAAAAGAACGTTAGATTTTTCTTTCCATGTCTATTTTGTACAAAAGCAAAGAAATTTTTAGATACAAAACCAAGACTTGTCGAGTTTACTTACATGGGCAGCACTGGGCTTTGGCCATGTCCTTCCCTCCTCCCTCACTCCTCCTCTTTCAACTATATATTAGATACTAAACTTCCCTTCCATTCTATTTCGCATTCAAAACTACTGAATCTCTCCTTTTTCACTCTAATTTCTGGATTCAAAAGCGAACACCTTGACTTCCATTTCTAAAATAATCTGACAATGGAGCCTTTCTGGAGCTCAGCTGTTGAATGTTGATGATTCCTTCTTGTCGAAACCGAAAAAGGAGCAATTTTGAAATGCATCCAAGCTGCTTGCTATCAAACGGTTCAAGCTGCTAAGGCTATCGCCTAAAATTAGATCTTCGCTATGGTACTTGTTAGTAGATGGCAAATCCAAATCCAACGGGCCTAGAGAATCAGGCTAACACAAAGAAACAACACAAAAAGTTAGCTATATTCAATACCAAAGAAGCATAGACACTTTAGTTTAGCGTGTCCAAGTTCAACATGTGTTGGGATCCTTGAACACTCCAACATTTGTTAAACATGTATCAGACATTTGTTTGCACCATAAATATGTATGAAGTAAAAAACACCATGGGTACAAAGTCAATATAAGTCCAGCATTTGTTAAACACGTATCGAGCACTTGTTAAGTATACTAAATAAACCCATAATAATATAGGACAAAAGTAAAAAGTTTTAAAAAGTTTTGTTAAGTAAAAAGTTTTTTAAGCATACAAATGAATAAACTAATTCAATTTGAATTTCCTCCTTGAATAAAAATGATAAATATTTTTTAAAATGTATATTTTAATAAACATGTCTGGGGTGTTGGATTTGTGTCCTAGATTTTTATAAAACGATGTATCACCAAGTCTGTCACATGCCATATCCAAGAATCTTAGTTCAAGAACCACTCAAAGTCACAAATTCCACAAAGTTAAGTGAACGTCACGCCAATATAACCACGAGATTTTTGTAAGTGGGAAGAGCATTAACGAACATACCCAATAGATGTCAGCTAGCTCATTGAGATCTTTTGTCTCCGAGATCTGTGGATCAGACTGACACTCGTCCATCGGGTCTCCTTGATTGTGATCTTCTGGAGGGCTGTCTGATAGTAATTCCTGTGTAAGAAAAGCGAGCACATTAGAACTTGGCCCATTTCCAAGCAATAGTAATGTCGTTGATAGCTACCTCGGCCATGTGGCTGGATCCCATGGAGTAGGTTCGAGCAATATGTTTGTAACCTTGTAAAGAAGAGAAAGGGGATGAACTAGGAACCTCTTGAAGGATAACTGGATTCTTTTGAAATGAGAAGGCATCGCATGTCTCTTCAGCGTCCCATATGGAGGATACATGAGACGCCAAAGTTGGTTGAGAAACTGTCTTGTCTTGCTGTCTGGATATATGAGCAGCTATTGCAGCATCAAATGAATCACAGCTGAATGGAATCTGCTGAAGACACTGGATGCCTTCCGTGAGAGGAGTGTCAATGCAGTTGGGATCCACATCCTGAGAAACTCCTGAAAGTAGGTCTCCAATGTTTATATTTGTAAGGCTGTCAGCCCACTCTCCGGCTGATAAGGAAGTTTCATTGCTTAACTTCAGGTCATCCTATTTTTACACAAAGGATGAAACAATCGAATCAAAAGGAAACTACAAGTACATTATGAAAAGTACGTTCGATGCAGTGGGAAAAACAATCATGACTAAAACATGACGAAAACAAGACCTATACTGGCATAATACAGTTGAGGATTTCTCTAGAATTCCGCTAATGCTGGAACATAAATTTTACAACAAAAAGAAAATATTCCACTATGTCCAAGTTTAGAACCGCTGTGGGAGGAAACAAAATACTTATACAGTTTACAGCTAATACCAGTGAGATAAAAAATCTACCAACTAGAATGGAAGTACCATAGTTCTCAAGGATGAAGAGACAACAACAGATGGAGAGAATGAATGAGAACCCATAAGCTAATGGCAGTGGAAGAAAAAAAAAAAAGAGACGTGAATAAATATTCATCAGCAGAGCTGAATCCATCGCTCAATAAACCTCACTAGATTTCCATATTTGGTGGATAAAAACCCCCACTAGTTGGAAATCAGCAGGGAAGCAAGATTCACTCAAGCAGTGAAATACATACGAGACAGTTAATATAGTTTATTAGTAATACAAGCATCGACGGGAGTACAATACTAATTATGTATAATAAAAGATGTCAATCTAAAATAGTTGGAGAGAAGAAAATACCACATCATCAGATCGTTGGATGAAGGTTCTATCAGCAACATCTTTTTTATCCCATGATATGTTTAAAGTAGGATCAGAGGACCTTGGAAGATCATCCAGACGTCCACATATGAACCTTTCTGTCTCATTGGGCACAGTAGGAGTTGACATATTATCATTCAATGTACCTACTTCATCCTTATTAAGACCTACAGGTTGATCATTGATTGATGCTAAATCCACAATCCGTCCGTCGATATCCCTGGCATCTATAATATGATCATCTTGAATGCAGTATGCTGGCACGGATGTCTGTAATTCAGGAGACCCAATTTCTGCATTGGAACACCAACCATACCTTCGAGAAGATTTCATGTCAGTAACGTTCTTTGTTACTCATTTATCTTATCAAATAAAACTCCAAAGAAAAAAGAAATTAAACCTTAAACGGAAAACTTGAGGCCTTCCAATTGCCGCATATACGTCACCCGCACTCTCAAAGGAGTCCTGTGTCCATCTCTGACATTCTGCCAGGCATTTTTTCTGCATACTGTAAGGAAAAAGCATAAGCGCTCCATGAGCAGCACTTGAATTACCCCATTTGCGACTTAGATGCTCTAAAACTGATGAGATTTTCTTGCGAGTACTAAGAGTGAGCTCCAAGTGTGGATTGTGTTTGTCCTGAAAAAAAGAGGACATTAACATTGTTGTAATGTCAAAGTGCTTAACATAGAATTGATTGGTGCAATTCGTATCACTCTCACCAATTCCAAGGCTCTTCGAGTACCATCATCAACTGGGAATAGCTGAAGCTTCAGCTTTGTATTAGCAACATCAATCAAGGAATTTGGCTGAAGAGGAGCCAATAGCAGCAAGGGGCTCCCAACAGGATCAGAATTCTTTTCCCCTGAAAGTTTGAGAGCAGCAAAAGTCACAACAGTGAAGAAATTTAATACATTTTCCTTCACCCTTCAACATAGGAACAGATTTTGCTTACTATCTTTCATACAAAGTTTTGAACGATGTAAATACAAAACTACAAGTTAATGGCTTACCTACAGTATTTTGATCATGTAAAACATCTCTGTTTGTAATAGTGCGCTCTAAATGCTCGGCAGCATCAGCAACCAAAGAAACGCCTGCTATTGCAGCTTTTTCCCATTTTTTATATGCAGCTGATGATACACCTTCTAAAAGTACAAATGCCCAATGAATAAATATTCTCATGCTTAACATTGATTGTGCAACCCAAAACACATAGCAACTTTAAAATCTTATTATCTTCTAAACATTTATTTTCCTATAAAATCCATTTTTGATCACTTTACAAAACTGATCTTAGATAGCACATTCACAAAGCTAGACAAGGCAATAGCTAGAAAAGGAGACACTTATTAATGTATTCAATCTTATCTATCAAACCAAAATCCTCCCCAAAACAAAGTGTTTTCGAGGAAGAGCTCACACCTGATTTTCTTCTCTGCCTTGATGGTTTAAGGACTGTGGGATATCCACCATTGTTTCCACGGTTAATACCAACATTCACATTGCGTCTTGATGCAGTTTTCCTATGGCCCAATTTTGGAATGTTTTGAGTGTCAACTAAGACTAATTTAACTGCACGCCCATCATGCCCTAAAGCTCTACTCTGATTAGAGACAGCATTTGGCATGGGTGGAGGGCAGTTTTCTCCCTGCAATGGACGTTTTCTTACAGTCTTCTTCCGATCTTTCAAAAGTTGATGCTCCTTCATGTAAAAGTGAGTTGGTCAGTTCAGCAGCACAGAAGAAGAGTTTCAAACATTGATAGACACCAAAGGATGGGATGGATTAGATAGCTTTGACTAACCAAGGCTTCAACAAAAATCTTAAAACGTCGGGGTTTCAGGTGAAGCTTTGAAGCTTTGCAACTGTATTTTTCCAGTAATGACCACCTGTTGGACATATGAAATACAGTGAGAGAAAAACCAAAACACCCACACTATACAATCTTTTTCAAAATAGATAGCTTTCTCATGTTATTACTTGAAGTAGTTAGACTAAACAATGGAAATTAGAATAACACATTAAATTAATACATAAATAAAAAATTCTCTCATGTTTTGGGTCTGACTCTCTCCAGATACATGAATGCCGGCATTCTCAACAACGATTCCAAATGGCATTATGGCAGAATCCAACTTGATTTTAACAATTCTTCACACAGTTACTCAGTTATCAATCAAATGAAAATAATCACACACGTCTGGAAAGCATAGGTAAGATAGAAGGAAAGATAGCAGCATAATTAGTAGTAATTTTTACCATCGGAGCATTGCAGCATTAGTATCCTTAGAATTTTTTGCATCCAGACATAACCCAGGAGCCAACAGCTTATTCATACGCCTTACTAGACGGTAATAGTAGTGTCTGACCTGGTTACAGAAAATTTAAAGAATATAGACATAAGAAGGGATTAGAGCACAAGCCCAAGGATTAACTTTCAAATATAAGACCATCAATAACAAGCACCTGGTCCTTGTTTTTGCTTTGGACATGGCAAGTGATCTTTTCAAAATTCTGCGTAGACAGCAGGATGCAGTTAGGGAGGTATCACATATTAAAAAATATGCAAAGCAGCAGGATGCAGTTAGGGGGACAACTACATGCCTTTCCAACTTGCCGTAATGCAGTGAAGAAACTTTCCTCCTCTTCACGTGTCCAAGCAGCCCATTGTCGAGTAGGCCTTTTGGCTGCATAAACCAATAAAAAAAAATATTAGAGGAAGGAAATTTGTCATAAATGTCTTAAAAATGGCAATAAAGTACCAGGCAGGGGTTCTATGACACGATCAGGAGTTGATGCTGCAATGCCCTGATCTCCAACATGAGCAATGATAGTCTCCGAAAGAAGATGTGTCTCCGAGTTGGAGGAGAGTATTGAATCTGTCTGCATTTTATATTTCTTTAATGAACTATTTACTCTTGTCCTTCATCGACTTCCAAATGATGCTCTTAAGCATCAGAAACCTACTGCAGCAATGGGTGATCATCTCAAAGTCAGAGAAATCACAGATTTAAAAAAAAGAACAGTTATCGAAAAGAGATAAATCATATGGGAAAGAGAACAGCACTTGAAAAATATTGGAAAGAGATCAATCAAACGAGAAAGAGTAGCACTTGTAATTGGAATCTATCTACCCGATCTAATCATGCATAAGCAAAGACACCAAAAATGTTAACAACGGTAGAACTCTCTACAAAGCTTCATATGCTCTCCTTAATTAAGAACTAAGAGTAGAACTTAAAGAGTAGTTTGTTCATCAATTCATAGATCATCAAAAAATAAACTAGATAAAGATTAAGTATAACCAATTACAACAGAACTCATGATTGCACATATATTGCCTCGAAGCATCCCATCTATCCCAAATCTTCCACACAAAAATGCTAACAAAACCAAATTACAGCAATTCAATTTAAGTACTACCACACGTAAACTTATAACTCACATACTAAAATAAATTTAGTAACCAAACTTCGAACTAGAAATTCAACACTGCTAGACGGCAGAGAATTGCCAACTAATTCAAATTCTTTAACCCTAAATTAAATCCAAAGACCGATCACTCACCTAAACGTTCCATGAAACAACTAATTAACCAAATTACGTTAAAATTCCACCAATCCAACTTCCTAGAAGACGATCGAAAACAAAGATTCTAATCATCTCCACTCCATTTTAGGTCACCAGAGACGATTTAGGGTTTCTAACTTCACCCATGGTCAACAACAAAAAAAAAAAAAAAAAAAAAAAAAAAAAAAAAAAAAAAAAAAACCTCCACAAAAATCAACAAGCAAATCAAACACGTACAATATACTGACAATACCAGAAGATTCAAGAAATCGAACAATCTGCAATTCCACAAGCTTCGTATATTAGACGTAAACGATGAAAACCGGAGAGAATTTTCCGACAGCCGTGTACAGTTGAGAGATGAGAAAGAAGGAGAAAAGAAAAATAAAAATAAAAACAATAATTTTACTTTGTGAAAATGAAAGAGGGGGGAAAAACAAATTAAAAAGATTAATTCCTCAAAATACTAAAATTAAAAAATAAAATAAAATTGTGAATTTGTAAAGCCTTATATTTTTTTAATACCAAGTGAAATGTATTTAGCATCATTTAACCTTATAATAAAAAATATATATATATAAATAAAGACTCTACTTTATAATGATATTTATAGCTTAATATGGTCATGATTAAAGCTTTTTAGAAAAAGAATTTTTCTTTCCCATTTTTTATTTGATTATTCGAGCTACGTTATAAGCATGATATGATTAAAAAAAGATTAAATTTTAACGAAGAAACCGAATAAAATGGATTAAAAAACGAAATCTTTCCATTTGAATAATATGGGAATCTATGTGTTTGGATTGAGTTACGCTCGACTTTTGGAACAGGGCAAAAGGGATGCTCGACTTTTGGCTTTTTTTTCGTGCCCTGTAGTAAATGAGTTATATCAAGTTTAAAACGTCCAGTCGTGGAAAGTAGATATCTGAAAGATCAAGTTGTACACGTTAAGAGATAAAAGATTTACCGTTTCATTTTCCATAATAAGACAACTCGAGAGGCACAAAATGGGAAACAAACCGTTTAATCCGTTTCAAGGATCAAAATGGGAAATAAACCGTTTTAGTCCATTTCAATGATTGAAAGGGGAAACAAACCGTTTTAATACCTCTGAGTTCACCGATAACCTCCGACTTTGGGATGTACCTTCGAAATAAGACAAACGTTTATGAGAATAGGGTGAAATAGTAGATATTGTCCTCTTTGAACTTTCTCTCTCGGGCTTCCCCTCAAAATTTTTAAAACGTGTCTGCTAGGGAAAGGTTTTTACACCCTTATAAGAATGTTTTGTTCTCCTCCCCCTCCAAAGTCCAGCGCGAATACTCGTTCCCCTCTCCAATCGATGTGGGATCTCACAATCCACCCCTTGAGCCCAACGTCCTCGCTGACACACTGCTTGGTGTCTACCTCCCTTTAGGGCTCAACATCATCACTGGCACACCGCTAGCAAATATTGTCCTCTTTGAGCTTTCTCTCAACGTTTTTAAAATGCATCTACTCGGGAGAGGTTTCTATACCCTTATAAAGAATGTTTCGTTCTTCTCTCCAACTATACTCAAAGTCTAAATACATAAAATTTAAATAGTTAAATGGTTAATTTCATTCCTAATAAGTCTTTCATATGATTTTAGTTCATAAAACCTTATAATTTTTTATATAATTTTATAAAACTCTCATATCGGAAGAGTTTTTCTAACATTTAAATTTATATTCTAATGATTGATTAATTTTTAAAAATGTTAAATTTGTAAACACAAAATTCAAAGTCGGAGATCGAGTGAGATTTACATAAATCAAGCAAAAAATCGGAGTTCGTCGAGGTGAGAAAGTGGAAATTCTCTCTGGATTGTTTGTTAAATTTTGTCCCCTCGCGTTGAAATTTGAAGTCTCTTCACGTTGAAATCGTAGTTTCCGCCGTCGGGGATTTAGATCCGTCAGTCGAGATGGGAGTGGGTTTCGTGGTCGGCGTCTTCGGAGTTCTAATTCTGGCTCATGCTGCTTATTCAACCATCCAATGTACGCCCTAAACAAAGCCTATGATTATACTCTCTGATTGTATCTGTACTTGCTTCTTATTGTTGCTGCTAAACCCTCGCAATTCTTAATCGATCTTGTTCTGATTGCAGATCGGAGTTTATTGAAGATCATGCAGGAAGAGTTTTCAGGACCTCCGTTTAATGTATTCTCATCCCTCTTTTTCTTTGTTTAATCTTTAGCTTTCAGCTGGTTTCGCATTTCTCCATCGATTTGAGTTGTTTTTGAATTAAGGAAGTTTTTTCCCCAAATTTTAGGTGGCAATCGAATTGGTTCTAGGGTTGGTATTGTCCATGTGGGCTGCGCTCACCGTGCCTGGGAAGTTTCTCTCGATTAATCCAGAATCCGAGGAGAATAGGTATCTTTTCCTCTCAATTATGCTTTTTAGAATAGAATTGCACCATTAGTTTTTCCCCATTGATATGGCATTGCCCATCTCCATAAAACAGTATCGATTGATTTCATTTGCACGATAAACGATATCGCTTTGGGGTTGAAGGTGGTCGACCAATAGCCAATCCAGAAAAGCTAGCTTGGGTAACAAAATTCTGATAATGGTTATATAAGAAAATTTAAAGATATCCTGAATACCCACACAATGATGTAGGTGTGCGATGTGTCGAACATTCTTTTAGGAACCCGTAACGGCTCAAGTCCACTGCTAGCAAATATTGTCCTCTTTTGGCTTTTCCTTCCGAGCTTCCTTCAAGGTTTTTGAAACGCGGCTGCTAGAGAGAGGTTTCTATACCCTCATAAAAAATGTTTCGTTCTCCTCCCCAACCGATGCGAGATCTCACAAAATCTACTGGACATTCTGCAATGCCTTTAGTTTGAGGATTTTGAATCAAAGAGAAGTTGAGTTTATGAATCAAAGAGAAGTTGAGTTTTAGTTCCCATCAACTCAAACAAAGATGTTCTATGAATAACAAAAGGGGATTCACCAACACTTGAATTGTAATTCTTTAAGAATTTTGTTAGGGAAGTAACAGCATTTTGCCTTGTTGTGACAATGCTTTTTATCATGACACAGTCTCATGTTACATGTTCTAGGAACATGAATGGTAAAACATTGGGTCGAAACCTTAAATTGGAGGGTACAACCTCAATCCAAAGTCATGTAACCGTCGTCACCCGACGTTCCCCACTGGTATCTGGCAATTTGCTGCTGTGCCTTCTTGTGCTTCAAAGTTTGAATAACAAGTACTACGCCATATAGTTTCTGTAATGGCCTAAGCCGAGCGCAAGCAAATATTGTCCTCTTTTTTCCCTTTCGGGCTTTCCCTCAAGGTTTTTAAATCGCGTCTGCTAGGGAGAGGTTTCCACACCCTTATAAAGAATGCTTCGTGTGCGATCTCACAGTTTCTCAGGATCTAGTAGTTAATTTTGTTTGCTCAGAAGGTTTTATCAAGCGACACTTAAATATTCAAGGTAGGTAGATATCAATCCATTAGAAGTTTTAGAGTTCATCTTTTTGGTTTCTCCCTTTTATGTCCGTATGAATAGATTCTATCCCTTCAATCTGAATTTCGCTCAAGCTCTGAATAGATTACAACAATTTGGAGTTGTTCTACTAATTTCACTATTATTAGTATGTCATTTCAGCAAGCTACTTCAATTAATTTTCATATAGAAGAAAATTGTTTCCATTTCAGGATAGTTTCTCTTCCTGCCAATCTAGATTTCATGGTCTTCAACCACCGAGGCAAATTATTTTCCCAGCAACTGGATTTGAAGCTCAAACATTGAGATCAAGCTGGAACCACAAATGAAACGTTCAAGAGCTTAAAGGAGACACTGCTCCGTTCCATCAACATAGTGTTTCTTCACGTATTTATTATTTTGGATATTTTGAGGTTTTCCCTTCTTTATTTCTAGTCCCATTGTTATTGAATTAGGCCTCTTCTGGATAGATACAAAATATGCATGCTTTTCTGCAGTTTACTATAATGAGATTAGTTTGTGCTTTTATCTGCCAATGCTGATTGCTATCAATACGGTAGTTTTTATTGAATTCGTTGATGGAGAAATGATGTTGGATCTTTCTCTATAATGAATTTTGTGTTATGATGCAAACTTGACAATCTTTTTTTTATACTTGCAAGCACATAATAAAGGTCATATCCCATTGGAATCATTTGCTTAGCTTGCAAAAATATTGTGCTGAACTTTGTTAAGGAGCTGAAGTTTATCATAATAGGTGCTGCATCAGTGCCATGTTAAAGTTATGAATATCAAATCTTAGAAAGAACGAATGAAACAAGATAAAAAGAAGAAGAAATTCATTGTATAAATTTAGATCACAGGCACATTTGTCATTGCAATGTTGAAGATGAAGCGTTTGCTTCAGAAAGTAGAATTTTAACATGTTGAAGCAGTGCTGATTCACGACAGGTTGAGCTCCTCATGAGAGTTTTCTTCAGAATGTCTGGGAATGTATTCAACTCTCCTCTTCTTTTCATCTCTTTCATCATCTCGTCTTACCCAGAACACTGATTCCCTGTTTCCTGCCATTTTAGCATTCAAATTCCTAGATCCTCTAAGAAAGGTTTTGCTAGTTTCTAACTTGAAACGAACAGGAGGCCTCTCAATAGGAAGAATCCTTGCCTTGTCGTCCTCATTCTTAGCTAATCCACAACCATTAATCGCTTCAATGGCAGGAGCAACCACCTCTGGCACAGACAAATGGCTTATCCCATCCATGGCACTCCCATCTTCCATCTCTTGCAAACATGTCCCAAGGAATGGATTACTCTCACCTCCTGATAACTCAATCTCCCCATTGCCATTTCTTGCTGAACCACAGGATACCAATCTCTTCTGCAAACCCGACATGGATTTCTCTGCCTTCCTTCGCTGCCTCGCCATCTCCATCTTCTCTGCACACGGCTCACTCGGGCTCCTCCTCCACAAAGTTGAAGGATCGTAAGTATGAGCATCAGGGAAAGCTGGTAACCAATCGGCAATGTGTGTGCCAGGTGGGGTTTCACCAATCTGAAGGAAACTTGGAATTGCCTTCCTGTTTCTGATCACAGGGAAACATGGTAATGGGTGAGCAAAAGGGATCTCTTCAACTGAATTCACGTACCGAACAATGTTCTTCACTGACCCTGATTTAGCAAGACATTGAATTGGTTCCCAAGCCTCCTGAAACCCCTGTGATGATTCCAACTCTTCAAGCCCTCTAATTATATCAAAAACATTGCACTCAATTCTACCAGCCAAATTAGCATAGAATGCTGCTATCTTACCCAAATGGCGAAGGTACTTGATAGCGATGTCGACCAATGCGTCTAGAGCTGACTCCTTGAATCTCTGAAACCCTGCACTATTACATATCTGAGCCACAGCAATTCTCGACACCTCTCGTCCAAACTCATT